GTACTGTATCCAATTTCAAGCCTTGGGTAATACTCCTTATGTAAGACGTGCATATCTTGGAATATGAAAATCTCTGATTAACTTTTTTGAAGTAATTACCTGTATTTAAAAATAGATGCCACGTGTACCTTCAATTAGTGGAATGCATTTCGAAGAGTTTAATTTCAAATAAAATCGAGTTAATATAGGTTGAAATGGAGAAAACCTTGACGGATTCCATCTGGAACTGAAATGCTCTTATTAGCACGGCGAAGGAAAGTTGGGAGTTATGAATTATTTGGAAGGTACCTAAGGAAGTGATCAGATACCAGTGCAATCGGAATTGCTAATTCGATGTGAGGATCTCACAAAAAAAATTCCGAGAGATATAGAATTTCCAAAAAGGCTTGTGGAACAACTGCACCATACCATGGTCAGAACTGAAAAAAAAATCTCCAAGTTGTGTTATAAAATCCTCTCCCTTCAAGTTTTTGAGGGAGAAGTAAAGGACTACATTGTTTTCAACCATCAGAAAAAACTGGGAAGCATGGTGCTTTTTTGTTTTGTATTTTGGAACGAATCCCCATTCTCTTACTCTGCTTTGTCGTTAACGGCCATACCACGTTGAAAGTACCTGTTCTCGTTCGATCACGGCAGCTAAGCAACGTTGGGCCCGGTTAGTACTTGGATGGGAGACCGCCTGGGAACACCGGGTGCTGTTGACTTTTTGTATGAAATCATACGGTAATTTCCTCGTGCCAAGTGTTTTTCTTTTTTACAAGTGGTGGGTAAATTACTCTTTCAATTCGCAAATTTCAACTTATTTCGTGTCATTAGAATGCTTGATCTCAGTAAGAGAACTTTCAAATGCCTAACAAAAATGGTGTATGATTCCAGAGACTGTTTGATTCGGTAGAAAGAAAGGACACGGAAGCTGTGTTTTTGTGACTAATATCGACCGTAGACTGTCTTTGATTATATTCTGGAAATCGAACTTGTTTGAATTAATTTCTACGTATACATTCTCACTGAGTTTAATGTCAGTACAGTACTGTGTTGCTGATGCTTTCGTTAGGCACTGCAGATAATGAAGCAATTTTTACCGTTGCTACAGAGTAATTTGGAACCATTCCTAATTGCTTCTTGTTTGGGAAAATCAAAATCAGTTCTTTTCCAGTTCTCATGTATCGATACAGTATTTTAATTTCAGTGATGGAACTATTTTTCTTTCAGCATGCGACTATTGTGTACTTCAGAACCCTTTTTTCGACGCCTTAAATCGGTTTGCTTAGTTATTTTTCAGTGCTATCGTTTCGTGCTGTTCGAAAAAGAATCTCCTATTAAAATCCATCTGCTTACTGCAAAAATTGCTGTCCAGACCGATTTATTCACTCCGAAATTCGACAGAAAGCCTCCTCATGAATTTGGTCATGCGTGATTAGGAATTAATGAATTTGTTAACGACTTTGAATGGCTCGAATGTTCGGAAAAATTGCAGTTTTCCTCTGTTCAAACCGAATCATGAGGAAGGCGAATGCATTTTTGTTTACGTATGTTTTTTTTTACTTTATTAGTATTGCATTTGTTTTCATTCACATGTGCAAAGACTTTCGTTAGGCTATCTTCAAAACGTCATGGTTTGATGCCCCGTCCGAGGCCTTGAGTAGGATGAATAACTTTTTTTTTTGTACTCCTTCTGATCTTTCGGGGCCCACTTCAAGGGTTGAACCACATGTTCTGCAAAACATCCCTTAAACCTCGAAAATTTTTTTGCAAAATACAATCCATGAGGAAAAATATGAAAAGAAAACTGGTTTGATTAACTTTTGAAAGGTCTCATAGGGAAACGCGATTCCGGTCATCCAGGTTTTGTTGCGTATTCCGAAAGTGGCTCTTGTGTTCATGGGATTATTATTGGAATGCGTGTTTAATGAAAGGGTATATTAGTTGAAAATGTTGGCTAATTTATTCAAAGTATCCCGTGTTCGAAAATCGATGGAATCCCTGCTAAGTGTTGTTGTATGCAGTGCCATCTTTTCCTTTCGTTTCGAAATACTGTAACAGTTTCAATGATTTTCAATGGTCCCTTCTCTTACGTTAGTCCGTAAAACTTGAACCAGTTCACATGAATTCGAAATATCCATCAGAAAAACCAAGTGCAGTAGTGCTACGAGTGCCTGTTCCTTTCTCTTGATGTGATGTCAACGGCCATACCACGTTGAAAGCACCCGTTCTCGTTCGATCACGGCAGTTAAGCAACGTTGGGCCCGGTTAGTACTTGGATGGGAGACCGCCTGGGAACACCGGGTGCTGTTGACTTTTTGCTTCCCCAAACGAAATGGAATGAATACTTTTAAGAGAATATCCCATTATTTGCTGTTTTATTTTTGTTGGAATGTGATATTTGTGAAAGATGAGGTACTGTTTCCAAGCAGAAATTCATTTATCCAACGTGTGAACCTCTCATGAACCACGGATGCTCTTTTTTACATTTTTGAAAATGGGAGAGAAATGTCCCTTCCAATTGTTCGCATTCAGATTTCTTCAGATCGACGAAAAACGGCGGTGTATGTCCCAGATGAGAATGATTCTTGACCGGCGGGTTAAAATTTTTTTTCGAAATATTTGTTCAACATACTCAGATCGTCAATACTGTTATTGTACATAAAGTTTTTGGAATCAGCTTTTAATGTAACAGAAATTGGAAAATCCCAGTTTCCATGAAGTGCAATTACGATGTCCATAAGATTGGGAAGATTCAGCATAGTGTACAGTACCTGCAAAATATCAATTGAGAAAAACGAAGTTCTGTACTGGACAGTATTGGTGACTGAATGCCTGTTCCTTTCTCACCTTTTGATGTCAATGGGCATACCATGTTGAAAGCACCTGTTCTTGTTCGATCACAGCAGTTGAGCAATGTTGGGCCTGGTTAGTACTTGAATGGGAGACCACCTGGGAACACCAGGTGCTGTTGAATTTTTGAAGACAGGTTGCATGAAATAATCCTCACAAAGTTTGTATCATATTAAAGAGGTCCTCATCTTAAAATTCGAATACAATACTTTCCCTTCTGTGATTTTGTCATATGTTTGCTCTTGGTGAGAAAATTTCCGAATAGTGTACCAAACAAAAATTCAGCACAATCCTGGAGACGAATTTAATCATTTTGAAATTGGACTCCATTGATAAGTTCATTTACCAACTTATGTTGACCGTTTTTCTATATTTTGGAAATCGAACATGTTTGAATTACGTTCTACTGATGAATGTTCCTTGCTCAATGCCAGTATTACCGATGCTTTCATTGAATACGTCATAAAGTTTATGCACTTCTTCATCATTGCAACCAAGTACTTTCGATCCATTCAGAATTTCCTCAAGATTGTGAAAGTCAAAATCCAGTGCTGTGCGTGTATCAAAATTCCAATTAACATGCTGGAAGGATGTTTGTTTCCAAAGTAAAAAATATATTGTTTTTTTGAAGCCCCGTTTTCGGTGCCTCACTTCAGTCCGATTTAATTTGTTTCATTCAGTGTTACAATTGATCTGTATTTAATCAAATGGCTTCATGCTGCCGAAAAATGAATCTCATGTTGAAACCATCCTCTGACTGCAACACCTGCTGTCAAAACTCATTGCTTTCACCCCAAAATGTTTTCAATAAGTCTCTTGACGAATTTGGTCGAGTGCGACCAGGAATTCATGCAGCCTGACTTGATGACCACAATATATGGCTCGAAGGTTCGAAAATACAGTGAGACCCCTAGATGCGGACGTAATTGGTGCATCAAGAGTGTCCCCAAGTCAAAATTTCCCTTAGTCGAGTCTCATTTTCTGTTAGACTTACATTACTTAATTTTTAATTTGTGTTTTATGTACAAAATACTCACCATAATTTCATGAAAATAAAAATGTTCTCCCAATTTAAACTGATTCCAATCAATATATTTCAACAGAATATGGGCATTTGAGGAATTTAATACTGATACCTCTGTTCAGTACATAGATATGTTGGCATTCTCTGTTTTAAAAAACATTCAAGTGAAAAAAGAGGAGGAAGTCCCTCTCTGCTGGAGGTAATTTGTTCAATTAGCAAAATGGATGGGAAATTGGTGAGAGAAATGCCAAAGAACTTTTCTCACATTAATTTTAGGGTTGGAAATATCTGTTTCTTTTAATTTGGCCTGAAATGTATTTGCAATTTTATAACAAAATGTCCCTATGTCAAGTCATAGTCATCATGTTGGGCCTTTTATATTAATTTTTATGGGAAAATAAGTGTCTCTATGTCAAATATTCTGCATGTGAGGGTCTCACTGTACATTATAACTTTCCAAGAAGCTGTGTCAAATACTGTTTATCCCCTTTTGCTGACTGACGATAGCTGCCATTCAGCACAATGTCACATCAATGGCGAAACCACCTTGAAAACACCCCTCATCCTTTGACTAAGGCACTTGAGCAAAATTGACACGGAACCCTTCTTTTCTCATCTCCGTTTTAAAAATTAAAAAAAAAATAAAATAAATGTGCGCGTGGTGCTGTACTCGAATGAATATTACGAGTGCATAAGAAGCATTTAAGAATTGAGAAAAGGAGGCTAATTATTTGTCCCTTGTGATTTTTTTCTTCTTTTCATGAAAATGCCTATATGTAGACGTGGGAACCCTTTTTTTTCTCATTTCCAATTTGAAAAAATGAAATAAAACAAAGGTGCGCGTGGTGCTGTACTCGAATAAATATTACGAGTGCTTAATAAGCATTTAAAAATTGAGAAAAGAAGGCTAATTATTTGTCCCTTGTAGATTTTTTTTTTCGTCTTTTCATGAAAATGCCTATATGTAGACGTGGGAACCCTCTTTTTTCTCATCTCCAATTTGAAAAACTAAAATAAAATAACGGTGCGCGTGGTGCTGTACTCGAATGAATAATACGAGTTCATAATAATCATTTAAAAGTCGAGAAAAGAAGAAGGCTAATTATTTGTCCCTTATTATTTTTTTCTTCTTTTCATAAAAATGCCTGTATGTATAGACGTGGCGTGGGCCCTGCGTGACCAGGCGGTGCTGAACGAGTCTCGCGAGAAGAAATTCCGGCGCCTGAAGCACGTGCTCCGAGATCCGATCAACAAGAAGCACGCCGCCTTGCCGCTGCTGTTTCCCAGCTCGACGGTGACGGTGGAGCGGAGTTGTTTCCTGAGTGTGTCCCAGTCGCCGTCGCCGTCGCGGGACGAAGAGACGGCCCGCACGCTGACGGACTCGGAGGACTCGAGCGAGTCCTTTGCTGCCCCCGCTGGTCTAGTCAAGTCCGTCTGCAGGTGACTTTTGAATATGCAGTACAGTATATATTTTTTCCTATACACAGTACAGTAATGTACAGTATAGTACAGTTCAATTTGGTTCGTGGTTTACAAACTTGATTCATTCCTGAGAAAAATTTGGTAACCAAACCACGTTCTCCCTTGAGAAAGTACGAGGTTTGGTTCATGAAGTTTTGAGTCTTTTTGATATGGAAGCAACTGAGTTTCAACAATTCAAAATTTCTTCTGACCCTGCGTAACCCCATCATTTGGCAGCACTTCAATCATGTTCCACATACCCTGATGAATTTGAACAGATTTTTTCATGTAATAAATTCTATGACCAAAACAGCCTCAAAAATCAAATTTAATTTTGTTGATTGAGCTGCTCTTTGACGGTGGGAATGAGGCTGTCCCTGTCCTCGAAATCGATTCCTTTCAGGTCGTTCTTCACTGCTGGGAACAGGCAGAAGTCACAGGATGCCTGATCAACTAGAAGAACTCAATCTGAGGCACTGTCTTAATCGTTAGATTTATTGCATGAAGAAACGCGTTGAAATTGATGGAGAGTATGTTGAAGAGAACTTCAGTGTTGCCAAATGATCAGGCTATGCAAATAAGAATTTTGTGCAATTTTTGAAACTCTGTTGGATCTATTTCAAAAGTCTCAAAACTTATGAACCGAACCTTGCTCAAAAACAATTTCCAGAACTTGGAAATTTTTTTTAGAAAGTTTTACCAGCCCATGACGTGCATTCCCGCATTTTTCCTTTGGATGTGAGATAAGTAGTGAGCGTGAGTTTTCTTGTAAATGCTGTAAATACTCACAAAAATTAATAATGAAAGCAGGCAAAATGTGTGCCTTTTCTCCAGTTCTTTCATAATCTATGCACAGTACGAGTAGCAACACTTCTGGGCATTATTCCCTGTTTTTTGGCCTCCTGTTTTTATTTTATTTTTTCATTCCCCGAACTGTGTCTCCTGTGGTTTTTTCCTCAGGCAATTGACAAAGAAGAAGGGGATCTTCGACGGGGAAAAGCAGCAGAAGCAGCAGCAGGTGGCGCCTTCAATCCCGAAACCGCCGCCTTTGCCCGGCGATACCAGGCTGCATTTGGACGTGCATTTCGAAAGGTTCACGCAGACCACCGTCAAGCCGAAGCACATGTACACCTTTTTCTGCGGGGAGGATTTCAGGAGGTGATGAATTTTTCGAGAAAACAAAAATTAATGAAAAGCAAAGACCAAGAAGCAAATGGCTCCGCCCTTCCTTGGAAAAAGTTATGTTGAAACAGTAATTTGCGCCAAGTCAGACACCCATTCATTCACTTCCGAGGCTCCCGGACCCCCATTTGTTTTTCTCTCTCTAACTCCGGTGATTAGTGCCAGTCGAAACTGGCGAAGCATCAAGGCCAGCGGAAATCGAGCCTTACATTTGGGAGCCAATGGGCGTTGAGACGAAAACAGTCGAAGATTCGAAACTCGAAACCGGGCTGGGACCCGGGCTGAGAGAACATTGGGACCAAGGGAAAGGAGCAGTCAGTTAGCGTCAGAAGTTGAGAGGAATCGGGTGTGTCTGCTCCTTGAGGAAATTTGGTGCAATTTACAGTTGGATGAATCTTTTCGAAGAGCAAATTCTGTGAATGAACTTGTTTCTAATTTTGTTGCCGGTACATTTGGATAACGTTTCTTATCATAATGAACAGAAACAAAACCTTAATTTAAAATTCAGCGCGTATCAACAGAGGGCAGGCTGGTAAACCTGCCGATGCCTTGGTCCTTCATTTTCTAGCAGCAGTTTTTCGGAGAGCTTTGTTGGACATTTTTGCGGTATTGAAGTTTCTAACACAAGCATCCCAATTACACATCTTCAAACTCCCAAGAAATCCTATCCTCTATTGAGGCGTGCTCCTTAGTTTCTATGACTGGATGGAACCTTCGCTGTTCCGAAAAGTAAAGGCACCAGTCCACCAGAACTCAAATTTCAGTAAGGATTCGACTCGAATTCGATTAATCTTTGCATTGTTTCAATTCATGAAAATTGCTCGTATTTTCGGAGTGTGACGCGCACCTGAACTTCTTGAACGGAAAAAAGTGATCCCCGTTCATCGTGTTAACCCTTATTTTAGATCGTAATTTTGAGAGAATAAACGTAGAATCCCTCGGAGCTATCCTAGTTGGGGGGACCCAAGCTCCAATCCCTCGTCTCGAAGGGTACGAAAAACGTTTCTGCGGAATGTCATTCATAGAAAAACAAAAGATGGAATCAGTTTTCAGTTTTTTTTTTCGAATGACCAATGCCATCATTTTTCAAATTTATTTTTTGGGGCATGGCAAGATTTCCCGAAAGAAGATATCAGTTTGGAAGTGATAGTTTCAAAAACGAGGACATATCCGCACTTCGGTGTTTGCCATTCAAATCAGGAGAAACCATGTGACATTCTCACTCTTTGAAGGATTTTATCCATGATTTATCATTCAATTTCGTCCGATCAAGCGAAATAATTTTTTCTCGTTCTTGATGTGATTTCAAGGGGGTTTTTCCTTCGAGTCAAGGGTGTTTTCCAAGAACGTACGATATTTATGTGGACGTATAGTTTTGCTCTTGGCTCCCCCCAAGTTGGAAAGCTCCTCGAAGTAGTCGTCAAATGTTCCTCCTGTCCAAGGGTTGGAAGAATTCGGTTTCGGGATGCAATCTGAAAATTCGCGTTTCTGCTCTCCATTTATTGGAACGTCTACGAATTTTATTCACTCGAGTGCGATTCGCACCGTTTTTTTAAAGCGAGGGGCGAAATCTGAGGTGCACGTTATCCCAGCCGGATACAAATTTACCAGTGAATTGTTGAAGCTTTAATTTCCCCCCCCCCCCTGCCCACTTAAATTTTTTGTATGTTTTTTTTTTACTTATTCTTTGTGTTGCGTAAAAAAACAACCATGACATTGATGTCAACTTTTCCGTCGTATTCTTGGATTCTTACCACATTTCGTTTCCAAAATGCTGTGAATATGGTACTGTATGGGTTCTGGAAACTGAAAGCTAAGGTACGTGTCTTACTCCAGTGAGTGAATCTGGTGAATGTTCATTTCTTGGAACGTACGAAATGTTTATTCATATTCGAAGTACAGTGCGTAAGAGTTACGGTTATTGTACTGCAGTAATTGTTTCCATCCCTTGTTTTTCTACAGAGACGAATTCGCGTCGCACTGCAAGGACACGCACGCGGATATCCAGGGTGGAATGGATGGTTGGATCGAGAGACGGTGTCCGTTGGCGTACATGGGCTGTTCATTCAAAGTGCGTCGTCTGGACCCTGTGGGGCATACGGTGGTTTTCAATAAATCTTCGCGAAGTTTTGCACTGCAGTCTACCACCGAACCCATTTCCGGTTCTGGTCTGGAAACACTACCTGTCAAGGTGAGCATTTTTTTTTTTCAAATGGTCAAAAGCTGGATTTCACGTCATCGTTTGTCTTGGCACATTTGGAGGACCCAAGCAAGGGTGGCGCTGAATTCAGGGTATTGTATGAGGAGGTTTCATCCATGGTCTCAGATTGACAGAAAAGGCTACTGATCATGTCTTATGTTAGAGAGGTAGCCACTAGAAGCTCAAATGCTAATGCACTGTTAGCAAATATTGGATTTCAATGCATCCAATTAATACAGTCAAATCCCCATGAGACGCTGTCATTTGTCCAGAGGAACCACCAAAACATCCAGGTTTGGTGGTTGGAGGTTTATCCAACCACCAATTTCTTTAAACATTAAAGGGGTTGGCGGTTTATCAAAAATTTCATTTTGAATCATTTGATTGGAAATACTGTACATATTCTAATAGACGCCCCCGGCATGTATTCAAAGAATACTTTCCCTACCCCCGAGCATTTATTGGAGAGTAGCCATTATTTGAAATGTGTGACAAATTTATTTGCCATGAAAAATTTTGAAAAGACAAAAATGGAAGAATTAATCAATTATTTTCAGGAAACTGGATTTCATTAATATTATTCATAGGAATTTTCCATGAGTTTTTGGAATAGTTGGATTTACTGCCAATTTTTAAATATCTATGAATGTGGTACAATTCAAACTCTACAAATCTTGGATCTTTGATGTGTAAAAGAAATGAATCATAAAAATTCGTTGATGACTGCGGTAGAAAGTACGGAGAAGGTAGGAATTTCTTTAACTAACAATAATTGTGTAAGATAGACAGTTACCTCCAATTTTCTTCTACAAAACTGAAAATTTGGAAAAAATATTCATGTATTGTTTGAATATTCTATCTTGCAGTTGCCATCAAAGTATTCTCTGAGTCCATGCATACAAATTTACTTTGTTATTCTGCTTTAAAAAAGTACACAGATCTGTTTTTTCTCACCATTCCTCCCCATGCTGAGACCACATACAAGGGTTGGTGCATAACCTGTGGAAATTTTTTGAAAATATCCAACAGAATTTCAACACTTACAAATGTTGTCCTTACTTCATAGCCCCATCATTTGGCATCACTTAATTGCTGTTCAACTCAGTCTGCACCAGGGTTGTTAATCACTACTAAAAAAAAATTTACACTACCACTACCCCTACTGGAACTTTTTTTCACTACCACTACCCCTACCACTACTTTGTGGAAAAAATTTGCACTACCACTACCAAGGTGAAAAAAATTTGCAGGAAAATATCCGTGTGGTTTTTTTTTTCAGACTCTTCCTGGTGTGTTGGTTGCGTGGATGACTAAATCCACAGATGTTTGAGGTAATTTACACTGCTGATCCCAAAAAAAAAGGGTCAGGCTCAGGCCTTTGGAGATCAATTTTTGCCGGCAGCCCCGCACCCCTCCTCCATGGGCAGACAAGGCCAGCTGACTTTTTTGAATTCTTTCTTTTTGGGACATAGCTGCCGAAACAATAAGCAACAAGAAAAGACTGACCTTACAGTTATTTCATGTGAACATTGACAGGTACAAATTAAGCTGCACTGACCTTACAGTTATCTCAGGTTAGAATTGACAGTTACAAATTAATCTGAATTTTGCGGTTTGCACAAAAGTGCAGATCTATGATTTATGACCAAATACCTGTGGGATTGTGACTTGGGAAGCATTCTTTTTTACATTCAACTCTTCAATACTGTTCGACAGTTCATCTACAGAGCTTGTGAGGCAAACGTGCTAAGATTCTGGCAGAAAATTGTCCCCATTAATTTTCGAAATTCGCGAGAACTGATTCCTTTGTGCATTATGCGTAGAGGTGCAGTTTAAAAAGCTGTCTTTAAAGGAGTGTGAATCAAATTCTGGGTCAACCATCTCAAATTCTGGGTCTGGGAAAATTTGATTTCAATGCAATTTTTTGAGCAAAAAATCCCATGATCAAAACAGTGCCAAGAATCTAACTGGCTAAAGATACATAGTTGCACCATGTCCACTTCCTGAAGGCTCACTATGAGCTCAGACTTCATCCTTCATAAAAACGCACTGCCTAGTGAATCAAATAAGAGTTATAAGACTGATGAAACTCTCCAGTGACATAAAAAAAAAAAACTTCCCATAGGCACAGGGTTGTTTAGACCTGGAAGTTCCTAGTTGTGAGTTTGTGACCACAGAAAGCAGAACTAAGGAAACATTTTTTCAGCAAAAATAAATAAATAATTGAAAAATAACAAGAGCTCGACTTTGGCACTGTTTTGATCAATGGATGTTTTGCATGAAAAAATACATTTGAATTGTTGCAGATTGCTCAACATTGCTCAAGTGTTGTAAAATGATGGGGTGATACCAGCAAAAAAAAAAATTGGAATTTGTTCAATGCTGTTGGATCTAGTTCAAGAAGTCTTGAAAATCATGAACCAACCCATGTATATTTATGTAAACAAAATTCAGAAGTTTATCACTAATAATAGGAGATGCAATGTACAATGCCATAGAAAATTAAGATTCTTTACAACAATTTAGGTGGAGATTTGTTTCATTCAAAATGTTGACAGTGACCAAGGTGGCACTTTTTTCTGGGGCATCTTAACAAGGGTTTGACTGTTATTCTATTTTAAGTTTTCTGCATTTTGTATCAAAAAAGAGCAGAGCTTGTCACAAAAATTTGGAATCTTGTGACAAAGGGAAATTTTGTCCTGTGCTTTCTGTGGAACAATATTCAGGAAGGACAATAAAACACATTACTCAGCAGGGTAGCCTGCCTGTCCTTATCACAAGATCACATCACAAGAAGTATCTCAAAGATTCAAGGATAATTTTCTAAGGTCCAGACAGTTTTCCCAAGACAAATGATCCTCACACTTCAAGAGCCAGAAGACAAGTCAAATCCTTGCAGCACAAGTTTGCCCATATATCAATTTTCCCAGCCACACAATTTTCTGGGTTGCGCAATTTTCCAAGTGGCGCAATTTTCTGAGTGCTGTGTTGGTGTGATTTTCCAAGTGGCACAATTGTCATTGTTGCGCGATTTTTACGTCTTTCATTGTTCAACTTTTGAAGGCTGGGAGTGGTCCAGGATCATCTGATGATCTTGGGCTGATGTTTTTCAATGTCCTCCAGTGTTGTTTTTCTGGTTGGCCTGAAGGCCTTGATCTAATTTCATCCCTCAACGATTATTTGGTTCCACGGTTTTTGATGCTGCAATGAATATTATTTTTATTTACAGTATTTTTTGGACAATTTTCCAGGACTGAGCTTTTTCTTGAAGATGTGTTGGAGTTGGTGCTTCAATCCAACTCCCTCAATGAGGGTGGTATTGAATATAGTGCATTGTATGATGCAGTTTAGTTGAGAGTTTTCTACTGTCGGAAAGTTATTCAGTTAGCAGTGTTACTGGGCAACCAGGTTTCTTTGAAAAGAGACAAAGCAACCCAAAATAACTATGGTGCTTAGGTGTTATCGTTTTACACTGTACTGTATTTTAATACGGTACACCTATGAACCGGATTATTTAGACTTGCATACACTTCATGTCTTTTATAAGGGTATGACAGTTTTTTTAGGTTTTCTGTGAGTTAGAGTTTTGTTTCTGGTGCTATCATGCAGGGATCATCAATGTTTGAAGGAAAGCTCCCTCCCCATCAATGATATTTCCTATATATGAAGTTGTCATGCATGAGAGAAATACTTGCAGTCCATTTCAAGTTTTGGTGTGAGCATGGTTATGTGATTCTCAGTGAAAACTGAAAACCAATTGGTATCCCTAGAACAATACATCTTTGATACAATATAATGTATTTTAATCATGTCTACATATAAATTTTTTTCTGCATATGAGATTCCTTCAAAATTGCCTACATATATTTGATTTTTGCCACGCTTGGTGAGCTGGTTTCACATTTGCAGGTTTCGTCATCTATTTGTGAGACTGCAGGGGTGGCATCATCCAGGAAAATTGTCCAGTGACACCAGATCTGTCAAGCACGTGTCCTGTTCAAGTTCATATGTGTCCAGGATATGTACCACAATTGTTGGAAAAAACTTTGGCATGCTGACAATTGGGCGCCAGATTAATTTGAAACGGTCGTCTGTTCCGAAAATTTCTAACAGCTTCTGCTGGAGCCTGGGAACCGAACCCGAGTTCAATTCCCAGGCCCAGCAAGGACATCTTCTGAATAGACCTTTACTCCGCGTCCTTCAACAACTCCTTTCCTGATTTCCAAATTCTGTATGATTTTCATCACTCGCATTCAAATTGTTAACCTAAGCAGATCTCCGTGCAGAGAAGCCTTTATCACGCAAATTCTGAAATTCTGACCAAGTGTTCATCATTGAGAAAAATACAACTATTTAAACTAGGACTTCTGTCCCGGCCACAGCCCGGCTGATCCATCGAGTTCTTATTTATAAAATTCAGCTCTTCACCTTCTCAAAAAGAACTTCAGTTCACTTTTTTGTTTCAATTGCACTTTTTCTGTCAACACATTCATTTCATATCTCATTTTCAACTTTGTGAGTTTCTTTGTCTGTTTGACATCTTTTTCTCACAAAAGTGGTAGCAGAGCGTGGTTTCTTTACGCCGCCTCTCTTCTAATCGAGTTGAATCATACTGTAAAGAGCAACACACAACGGCACAACATAACAATCAATCATCAACAAATCTCGTTAATGGCATTTCTAAATTTACAAAGCATGAGTTATGCATTAATAGCGTACAAAATTATAAACTCAATCAAAAATACAATACGTGCTACTTTTCGTAACACTGAAACATTTTACACTTATTCCTTCACCTTTATGAACAGCAATTGGGGATGTAAAAATGAAGAAATTCATAATTATAAACATTAATCATGAATCAGACCATATCCGGATATTCCTGAAATGAGTCTAGACGTACCATGCTAGCTGGCGCCAGAAGGAT